ATATTTAGTAGTTATACGTATAATTTATATTTCACATTTTACTTTTTATTCCATTGTCATATGTAAGTTTCATGATAAGAGCATACATACTCAACATAGACAGCTGCGGCATGCGAAACGAAGAAGATTGGTTTTTGGTTCGTGTCGCTACGTCGATTTTTCGCCGAGTTATAGCGTTTTAAAAATCGGGCGCGCGCGCACCATTCATGACTGAAGGCCGCGCGAGTTTTACGCAAGTAGTACGCGAGCTTACTACGTCCCCAAAAAACTGGCATAAAAACATACGACGCACACCTGTTCGGTAGTAAACATTGCCGCGCGAGACGCCGCACCAGACGCCGTGTATACGCGGCGTCTGCTGCTGCTGTCTCGGGATTAAGATCGCGAGTCGATATAATCGTCAATAACTTCGCACAAAAAAATCGCAGGAAGATGATCCTGGTCTCGTTGGAAAGCTAAGATTTCAGCGCTTCTAACGAGATAAGAATCGCTTATCTCGGATCATTAGTTTATGAGACATTATTAATAAATTCTGAGAAAATTTATTTTATCCCGAGATCGAGATTATGAATTAATCTTTCGGTTGGAATCGGCGGGGGTGGCGAAGGGCGAAGAGCCTCTATATAAGTCAATTTGTTTCTATCGAATATAAAATTTGGTTCAATTTGTTTTATGTTGTCTTTTAATCGATAGAGTTTCGTTTGCAATTGATCGATAAAGCCTTTACATTTTGATTTTTCGTTTGCACATTAATAAAAAATGTACAGTTATAAGCACAGCCACATATGTAACACGTTGTGTGTACTGTGTAACATTTCCTATTAATGTTTTACATTGTAGAGTTAGGTACATATTATTGTAAACACATGTAACATGTTTATATGTAATTTTATGTCATAATGAAAAATTGTATACATATATTTTTATTGTGTATCATATTGTGAGTTTTACTATGTAACTTTCTCTGTGTTTTTATACTTTTGTATATATTTCAAAATATGGTGTGAAAAAAATTAATTAAGTTGTAAAAATGTAAAAACGCAATTTTATCGCAAACAAAAGAGGACCGCCGATAAAAATTCGGCGGGGGTGGTGGAGACCCTCTACAAGTTGGTCTGCTTTTATCGGATAAAAATTTAATTCAAATTAAAAAAAGATGCATTATTTCATTTATAATCTGAAAATGCAATGATATAATAAATGTATATGTAGATAACCAAGTATCGAGAACAATCTTCTATAAATTTTGTTGGCAAAAGGAGTATAACGTAGCTTGTCAGCAAGATTTTATATTTTGCATTTATACATTATGTATAATTTATACATATGTCAGCAACGAAAGAATGTGAAGCGCCAGTAGTTGATTAACGCTAAAAAGAATTGTTAGACGACTTTAAGTTGGCAGATGGTTTATTTATTTAATTTACAGAAATTAATTAATTACAGAACATCGCAACTCAAAAGTTTGTTGACCACAAAACGAAATCAACGCAAGTCAATACTTACAGAGTAAAATTCTTTTCGAAAACTTGCAATATTACTTCACTGATATTAAACTAAAAAGCACAGGAGTTTGACATCGATTTTTGTTTTGATATCCACTTTTAGTTTAATATCAATGATTACTCCCGTTACTAAAAATCAATAACACTCTCGTGTTACCGACATTTCTAGCACGCAGCACGGAACACAACCAAAATTGGGCACTGCATTACCCGCTTGAAAAATGGGCGTAGCGGAATAGTTCCAAAAATGACAATGGGATGGCGCTGGAATCAGCCGAGTGAAAACGGTATTCAAGTAAAACGCCGGTGTGGCCGCTCTCGGGTTTCTCTCTGCTAGAACTCTGTTCAGACGGTTCAGACTCTTACTACAGGGACTCTAACATCGATCAGTGATTAAGTATTCGCCGAGAGCGATTACAGTTTCTTCCCGTACTTGTCGCTAACGCGTATCAGCTAACGCTAAGCGGCGAGCCGCGCCGAAGTCAGACGTGTGTTGCATTATTATTCGAACTGCCGTACGAACCACGAATAGCACGGGACGATGTGCGCGATCGTGTGACTGACGTCGTTTTCGTTTCTCGGAGTGTGCACTTGGGGATACGGGAGGCGAACCGCCGAATCGCCGTTTACCGTTCGCGCTCGCTATTTCTTCGATGTAACTTTAGTAGAGAAAGGCTGTCATTTTGTCGATTATTTATCAACAGACGCGTGAATTTAAGTGTGCGTTTATTTGAGATACATTGCGCGAGTGATATCAAAGTGATATTCGCGTCGCGAAGCCGCGTCGCTGACTCGACTCGCGTAGTATCACGCAGCAGCGCCGGAGCCGCCGGGTGACGGCGCCATGTTGGTCTGTTCGAGAAGCAGCGCGGAGTGCCGCGGACACGCAGCGGATCGGTCTCTCGCGCCGATCGGTCGTCACGAATGCGTTTCACGACGGTGGTGAGTTTAACGCCGATCGAGTTCAGCAATCGCGGCGTAGATTATACGATACTCACGCGTCGGCGATCTGCCGAGACGCGTAAATCTTGCGAGAAACTCCGTCCGGAATCTTCGGCGCAGTCGGATCCTCCCCAGTGAGAAATGATTCGTCGATCGACGTCGAAACGACGTCGAATCGACATCATTTCGACGTCGATCGACGAATTATTTCTCACTGGGTCGCGGTGCCGCGAGTATATGGCTCCAATTTTAACTCGCGTCTCTTCGCGCGTGTAGAAATACCCGAGTTTTCCACGCGTACCGCGCGACAAGAGAAATATTCGCGCGAGATCGCCCTGTTGAACGCTCGCGTTCGGTAGCGAGACGTGAAGTCTTGCGTATCTCCGAGTCCTTCTCGATGGAACGTCCCCGGTATTTCGCGTAACGCCATCGTGGCGGCTCGTATTACCGCGCGCGATTGTATCTCTTTTTCTCGCTCTCGCGTTGTATCAGAACTCGCGTCGATTAACATCGGGAGTGCCGTGTCGCGCGTTGCTTCCATATAATTAGCTTCTCTTTCGCGAGTGCCGCGTTGTGCCGAAAGTTGGTGCGAAATGGAAGGATCTGAGAGGAGGCAGCGGCCTGAGAAGCATCGAGCGACGGTGCAACTCTCTGGTGAGTACAATTATTTATGCATTATTCTTGCGTTAACCTCATTCCGCAGATTGCTTTTATCTTATTGTCTCTTCTTTTCTTTTCCTTTCTGTGACAATTATGATACAATATTTAATAAAACATCTTCTATTTCTTTAAATTAAATCGTTTATTCAAATGTTTCAGAAAATAACGAGCCAAAATGAATCGCGTTAAGTGACTTCTACGAAACTGATAATGTGGACCATCTGAGAGGAGGAGGAGGCCTGGAAGAGGCATCAGGCACCGGCGGAGCAACCTTGCGGTAAGTATTAATTTTTATTTTGTGGAAAACTGAAACTCTCTTTTTCTGTTTACTTCTATCATTGTATTTCATTATAATTTATAAATAATAACTAAAAACCACAACAAGTAATTTGAAAGTTTATAAAAGTTTATTCTTGAAAATCTTTTGCGCAAAAGATATAAATATCTAACCAAGTGGAAGGTTCAATGTCTGTAAAAATTATATTTTGCAATTCGTTTTTTGGAACATTGTTTTAACATGAATTTTTATTTCCGTATTACAGATTCAACGTAGCTACGTGGCAGATACAAACTCCGCTGTTGCGCATCTGGTTGGTAAGTCACAAATTTCTTTTTAGGTAACGAATTTACGATTAATACATCTCGTAAATCCGTTGCCTTAAAATTACTGAGTTACGACTATTAAATACTCTGTCAGTAGACAAATGATGCAATTCTATTGTATCATATAATTTATTGAATTCTATTATATCATATAAATTTATTGAATGAGGAAAGGACAATACAAATATATCAACTTGCACAAAAGGGATAGTTTGTGCCATAGCAAAAGTACGGATCAAAAAGTGAAACTTTGAATGAATTAAATAATACAAATATTTTAAGACAAAGTTAAAAATCTTATCGTTTTCCTAGTAACTTTTCCCTATTTTATTGTTTCAAATATTTTGTATAACGTAATATTTTCCATAATAAATTAAACAAATATTAAAATAATTTATTATGTGAAATAACTCGTCTTTTAATCTTGATAAATTAAGAAAAATTACGTATTTACTTTATTTATTTTCAATATTTATTAAAGATTCCTATTTCGATTCTACGAAAATATGCAATTCTTTAATTAATTGTAATTAAGTTGCTGATATGCAGTTATAGGAAACTGGTGTTAGTTATAGGAAAACGGTATACGTATATGTATATTCAATAAACAATTTCAGGCTTATACAGGGTGTTATATTAATTTATAAATATATAATAAATATATAAATTATAAACATAATAGAAACATTATATATAACTAATTTATTTAGTATAAATATATAACAAATTTATTAATAACTAAACAATAAATAAAATAATGTTACATCTATTAGAGAAATTTTAATCTTCAAAATAAATTAATTATAAAGTTTTTATTCTTAAAAAAATTAAGAATAAAAAACACTTCGGAAATATATTTTTAATTTTAATTTAAAGTTTTCAATTTAAACAAATTAAATAAATTAAATAAGTTATGTATTCTAAATAAAATATATTAACATTCTAAAATCCCTATGTTAACAAATAAATTATTTTTCTTTTCCTATTCGATATAAAACAATACTCGGGAAATACTTGAAAGATCCGTTTCTTTTCATAAATAACTCTCTCATTAATATTTCCATATAAAATCTAGATTTTATATTTTTAACACGCTTTTTAAATATTCTTTTTAATTACTAACGTCAACTTTATAATACTATCATGTACAAAGAATAAAGAAAAAATATGTCGTCAAAAAATATGTTATCAAAAAGAAAATCTTTGATTAACTCGTCGATTTTTATGATTATCAGTCTGTATAGTTAAAAAAATTCTTTCTATCATAGAAATTGAATAGATCATATAGATCTATTATAATTATATGATTTAAATCTATGCAGTTTCTGAGACTTTTATAGATGATCTGTTTCTAAGTTTGGTATGTTCATTACGTCCAAATTTTGACGCACGATCTAGACACGCGTTTAACACCGCATTCATGATAGAGAAGACACCAGGTAGCTTCACTACATAAAACAACAGGAATTTCTGTAGCGTGTACCATATTTTCTCTCGCAGACTAAAGGAATCATACAGGCGTGGCATGTTGAGTCCGAATATGTCACAAAGTTGGAGTAGAATCACCTTATAGTTAACATTTAAACGAGTGATGTAATCTACGCCCTCGTAAAGACACATGGTCATGTGTTCCCATTCTGGTGTCACCGTACGTAAGTTCGGTTTCACCCATTGCTCGATAAAGTCTTGAGTTCGCTGGCGCACGTCTTGCAAACTACCGCGACAGAAATTGTACTGATCTTCGATGCCCAACAGATAGCCTAGCCCACGCCAGAGGTGACAAAAAGCCTCCAGATCTTCATTGCTGGCGTCGTGTATCCCGAACTGTTCCGGATAAAGCACTATCAGACCCATGCAGGCGAACTGCGTGCCCGACATGTCGCCCTGATTCAGACCTCTCGTTCTCGCCATTGTGTAAGGACATTGTTGGTTCTTCATCATTGGACACGTGTCTGCAAAATCCTTTTTGATCTTTCCCAGTACAGGACACCATGCGTTCTGAATCTTGCTTTCCTGGTCAATCTCCTCGAAATTTTTCCGACACAATTTTTGTCTCATGACGTAATGTAATTTTCGCACTCTCTGGATGTCGCGATAGGCTGGTGTTTTCTTGCACCAAGGGTCGCTTGTGTACCAGTTTCTGAATGTCTTGATCGTCTTGAGGTATCGCGTAAAGGAACGATAGGGAGTATTTAACTTATGACTGAGAATCAGCGGTTTCAATCCGTCAGAAAAGCAAAATATCTGTATCAGACTCATCAGATTGCTCAATGAGATTACGCTGAAATAACGCCGGGCAAAGCACTGTCCACGATAAAACTTATGCATGATCAGCCAATCCGGTTTCACATTTGCTTCTCGTCCACAATCTCCATTTTCGAAAACCGCCGGCAAAACGTATCTCAAAGATTCGGGTATGTTCGGGAAGTATTTGTCGATATTATTCATTAGGTGATTGTACTGCTTCTTGAGGGCCCACTGGTCGAAATGTTCTGGTAACTGGTTGTTGTTGAGTTCTAGCTTGCATTTTGTTACGAATTCTTTACGCTCGTTGAGAGAGTCCATTAAATTGTTTGATTCGTCACAGGTGTCCAAAGAAGAATCAAAGCCGCTCGAAAAACCGCTGTCTCTGCTTTCCTCGATCTTGACTTTGAGGTAGCTGTCATCTGCCACATTATCACTCGATAAATTCTGTTTAGAGTAGTTTTCGTCGCTCGTGATAATCAGTGTAGGCACTTGCAATTTCTGTGATTTCGACATTTTAATACTTAAAGTTTCTTTGGGATCCTTAGAATATTTAAGTATCTTCTGACTGTTACTGTCGAATCTGTAAAAAAATTGTACAAAATGAAACATAGCAATTACATATATAAATTAAAGATTATTAAGTTAATAAAGAAAGCTATCTCGGTAGAGCGTATAAATAACAATACTAAAATAACAACTATATCCACTGCACTTCGATACGTTAAAAATTTTTTCTTATTCATTTGAATTCAATTTGAAAAATATGAAAAATATATAACAATAAGATTTTAACTCGTTACAATTAATTTTTTAATTATAGTAAGCGGACAGGCAAAACGATATGTCGAGCAAACACCATGCCTGGTTAAAAAATGTTAAGTATAGTATGAATATCGGAGATAAGGATAATTTCGTTCGTTCATTGCCGATTGTAACAAGTTATCATTGACAAAGCGAAATTTTTTAAATAATTAACTTACCAAAATTAATTTATTTTATACGTACTAAAGTAAAAAAATTTCTACTTACGCTATGAAGAAGAATTCGAGACCTTGGGTTTCTTGAAATGTTGCACGTTAACTTAGAAGTTCAATACTATTGATTCAATACTGTTATTTTACTTAAACAATATTTAGTACCGTATAAACTTCGCACACTCTGTGAATGGATTTGAAACACTGGATTTGAAGAACGGACAGTCAATATATAAGCCGAGAAGTTCCCCTTCTCTTACTGAATTCAAAACATGAATTAATTAAGAGAGGGGAATTTAATGAGTTATCAGTAACGTCGTCGCTCACTTAATCAATAACAACGTATCTCAATTACGTGTAATTGAGACGTATTGTTCTTATTAACGCGATAATGAAATTACGAAGTTCTAAACATGCTTCTTCGCAGATTCATGTTTCACAAGAGATTTAAGATACTTTATGGAAGATACCTTTCTGTCTGTATTGCGGCGCATATCATCAGCGAGTGTTCTTCAGTTTATCTTAATTATCGTAAAGTATTTTCAGATAATTTTTATCAGAAAACATTATATAAAAAACTTTTATAGTGGTTGTAAAACTTTTATAGTAATTATAACAACCTATTAGTATATGTAATTACATATTTCGTAAAAGCACAAATTGCTTTTGTGCTTTTACGAAATTTAGAAGACTTGTTAACGTCAGTACGTAAAGATAAACTTTACCTCAACAAGTCTTCTAAATTTCGTAAAAAGCACAATAGCAATTACTTATAGGTTTTTACAACTACTGCTATAAATAGTTTTTAATAGAATGCTTTCTGGAAAAAATGTTTGAAGAAACTCATGTAGTCATGCCAGATATTTCAATTTATATCGAATGATTTTGATAATTGAAACATTAACATATATCTTTTAATTATTGTATAATACGATCATATCAGAAATGTTGACAAATTCTTCTAAAATTTGGGTCGGACTCTATTTGATTTTTAGGACAATAGAAATTCTAAAGTTTTATCTCGTTGCGTACTTAGTGATACAGCAAAGATAAAGTTTTGTAACGTGATTAGAGACTTTTGTTATTAAATTACATATATACAAATGAATGCGTATACAGCACTGTTGCGTATATTACATGTAGTTTTTGATCAGTTCAAATAACGACATAATAATATACATATATCCTGATTTCTTATAATATGAGCCGCAGACTTGGAAGAAACGCAGAATAAATGTACATTAATTTAACATGCAGATTTATTAGAGTGATTGCGAATAAGTTCTCGTATTGTCGGAAGTGAGTGTAATTATGAGAGAGATCTCAAAATCTCTTTGAAATCTTATTGTTAATCAAAATCAATAAGTTTCTTTTGTATTTTAAGAATAATCGAGTTCTCACAATAAGAAACCGTAAATTAGATTCATTTAGATGCTGGAGTAATGGGATGTACCTAAATTAAAACAATAATACGAAACAAGTACAGAAGGTTGTAGCTACAGTGTAGTAATGTTGTAAGATTGCAGTATAATGTTGTAGAAACATTAAAACATTGTTGTAGGAACGTAACTTTGCATAGTTCGAACAATGTTACAGCAACATTTTGAAAATATTGTGAGCAACCTTTTAAATCGCCCTATATCGTAGGATGTATTTAAGTAACTTAATTGATGAACATATTAGTTTTTTACAAATGACATAATTTTTACTATAAACAAATGCCTTTTTGCACTTCTCTCCTCCATCTATAAGTTAAAAATGTAATAATTTGATTTATTTATAAAACAAGATCACATTAAAAGATAGGGTATAATATTTCCAATTTCAACCAAAAATATCTTACAATTAATAATCATTGTGCTAAGCTCACTTAAAATATATTTTAACAGATATAATTTCGTTAATCTCTAACATATAATATTAACTCTGTGTCAAGAAGTTAAACCCGAAGTTGTTTACACAGTCGTGTAAACAGGTTTGTGTCTTGCAAGTATAATCATCTCTTTAATATTTTCTTCCTCCTTCTCTTGGAAAGTGATTCAAGAGTTCTCGATGTTTGTTATCTTCTTGACGTCAATCATTATGACGTCGAATATTTCAGTAATATTCCCTATTATACAGGATAGGGAAAATCACTGAAAGAGGAAAATATTTGTAATTGTAAACATGAAAGTTGGAGCAAGGAAAATGTGAAAGACTTATTTTTTATTTTAATAATATTTTATATCTGGGGAAAAAAGGAGAAAACAAACAGTAAAATTAAACTATTTTCCAAACTTAAAATCAAGAGACAATGTTTTATACTGTAATTCTTAATTTAAGATTAATTCAAAGTTGGTAACTGAGTGTTAATATCAACTAGTAAGAATATTCTTAAAGTCGCCAGAAGTAATTAATAAATTAATAACATCAGTGAGTTTTATTGACCGTGTCTGGCAGTATAATAAACTTTATGTGTAATGCAATGTAGAATATTCTAATTAATAATAATATTCTGTTTTTAATATTTAATTGGTAAAATACTGCGAAACAAAAGTAAATAATATATGCATAATTCTATTTTAGTAAGGATTGTCAAGTTGTAAGTAGGTATACTATAATTTATAATTATTAATTATAAATATCACATAAAAATCGCTAGGTATTGATCTCCTGTTCTTCTTTATGGTTTTAGGCAATAAAGAATTAAATTATATACATATACAGGGTGTTGAAAAAAAAGGGTTACATACTTTGATAAGAGGTAGTATTGGTCAAAACAAGAAGAAAAGGTCTAATTAACATGGGTCCTAAGACTAATATCTTCAGAGATACAAGCTATTTTGTTATTTGAGCTCTTTGTCATTTTCTTATTAGTCGTGTCATCTTTAGACTGTAATGTTCTCTCTCCTGATATTTACGTTTGGTTTGCAATAGACACCACAAGTCAGGAAGATAAATAATTACATTTCATAAAATAAAAATTGTTTCTTTATCTCTCTTTGTTTATTTCTTGTTTTTAAAGTACCTAGAAAAAAGAGTGCGTAAAAACAAGAAATAAACAAAGAGAGATAAAGAAACAATTTTTATTTTATGAAATGTAATCATTTAGCTTCCTGACTTGTGGTGTCTATTGCGAACCAAACGTAAATATCAGGAGAGAGAACATTACATTCTAAAGATGACACGACTAATAAGAAAATGACAAAGAGCTCAAATAACAAAATAGCTTGTATCTCTGAAGATATTAGTCTTAGGACCCATGTTAATTAGACCTTTTCTTCTTGTTTTGACCCATACTACCTCTTATCAAAGTATGTAACCCTTTTTTTTCAACACCCTGTATATGTAATGATATAGATAAACATGTACATACGTCAATACTAGTTAAAAGTTTATTAATGTCATTGATTTTTACACAACAGTTCGTGAAAACGTATGAGTATTATTCCTAAAGTAAAGAAATAAAAAAAAGGGAAATATTTAATATATTATAGCAAAGCGGTATGAGTGAAGAGGGATCAATTGTATGATTCATATTTTCTATTTCACTCTTCCACGCAATTAGTCGCAAGAGGTTGCAATCTTGTTGCCACTGATTGCGTTATGGGAAAATCAAGTAAAAAAATATGAATCATATATGGTAGTTATCTTGTATCTTTCTTGGTCATTGTGCAATAATAACTTTATATTCTTTATCTTTTCTAAGCTGTGGCTTAAATGTTCCATTTTTGTTACGTTTTATTTATTTCGATCTCTTCTGTATGTAAATTTTTCTATAAAAGAATTAATGTAAAATACTATTGAGAAAAATATTTTGGTATTGTCGAAAATGTTCTTATTACATTGATACATGTATATTATGCATAGTTAATGATGTAACAATTGTATAAATTATTACATCATTATCAAGTTGTAGTAAAAGATATTAATTCTATTTTTAAACATCACTGATCTTAGGTATATTTCTTTCTTTGATAAAACATGCATGAGAATTGAAAAGAAGCATTTTGTAGATAAGGCAGAAAATGCGATAAAAGTTGATTACAGAGACTATATGCAAACTCGTGTCTATTTTATCTAAAGTGTTTTTTGTCGACCCAACTGGCGGGAAACTTTATTCGTGAATCTTACATCCATGAAGTTTTGACCATCCGGATTGTGGTCCTTATCAAGTGATTGGTAATAGTTAAAATTCTTATTACAAAAAATATTACCCCAGCCAGGATTCGAACCTGGGCCCTCCCTCAATCCGTGCGGGCGTCTTAAAACTTCGTGGATGTAAGATTCACGAATAAAGTTTCCTGCCAGTTGGGTCGACAAAAAATACTTTAGATAATGTTAACTATTCACTGGCGAGGTAAGTCTCTTATTTCCATCATGTCTATTTTGCAACAAAATGATATGGAAATACAACATCCGCGACTTAACATTTTTATATATGTATATAAACAGTGTACATTAAATAAATATTGATTATGCATGTTTTATAAACAATGCGTAAAATCATATGTATGAAAGATCAGGAACGTTAATTGCAATAATTTAAATTACATAACTTTGATAACGTATTTTACATGATACATTTTTGTATAATATCACAATTACATCAATATGATGAAAACACCTTCAGTAATTCCAATTTTTTTTCTCGATACTATACATGCTTCGGCAAAAGAGTGAGAGTGTGAATTGTAATTTGGGAATAATAAACTGATACATAGACATATATAAATATTAATTGCGTAATACATAAATGTGAACTTATAACATATTAAAAAATAATTTATAAATATGTATTTTTTCTAACAACTGTAATTATGCAAAGCGACCAAAAGTTCAAAACTAAAAAGAAAAAGAGTCATTAAATGCATTCGTTCATCTTTGAACGAATTCGATGGTTTAGAGAGAAAAAAAGATTAAATCACAAGTGGCTCATCGAGAGGAAATGTAGCAACGGAGGCTGAAAGTCCACTAACGTCATTAACGACGTCACTACGTCGTAGAAACGCATAAAACTTCGAGGAATCACAGATATCTAAAGAAGAGTAAACAATAAACCGGTATTGTGTGTTATGTGAACGAAGTTCAATGTATTGCATTATGGAAGATCAAGACGAATGAGATATATGACTCACATTAATCATGTTGTGTCTTTTATACATTGTACGACGTACGTAATAATGCCACGATTAACACTCGAATACTTTCGCATTAATTGTTACAAAATATGTAGACGCTGTATCAGCACTAGTAAT